TGTGACAACTCCTCAGAAAAATGAAAGAAAATTTTCTAGGAGCATTTAACTTATTGGAGAACCTGAAAGATATGTTCAGAACTCTCAGTAAAATGCGTCCATTACTAAGTAAAATAGTTTATTTGATTACGTCTTCAAATTCAATTCACTGCGTATGATCTGTAGATCGGCGAAGCAAGCTACTTTATTAGGTTCTGTGATATGGGTACTCGTCGATGCCAAGCCGTATAAGAGGTTATTCTGAACAAGCAGGTCCCCTGCCTTCACAGGGCACTTCGCAAGGTCGGAGACACAAATAGCTGAATTTATATTCAACATTTTTATTCGTGATTTCGTGTTTAGATCGATTACCTTCGCAGCTTGGCGGGACAACAATTTCCCGTTGGACAATGGTCTTCCAATTATGTATGCTGATATATTTTTATCCAATGCATTACCAATTTTTATCACCTGCCCACAATCTGCCATTGTCTCATGAGTAGTTAGGAGAACCAAAACTTTGGACACTGTACCATCGTGATGAATAGGTTCAATTGCATCTACTGTGAAGCCTTTTTTGCACATAGGGCTGCAAAAAACGTAATGATTAAAATGTCTGCTAACTAGGTATTAAGAATTAAAACAAACTGTCCAGTTAAGATAGGTAAGGCATAGCGGGTTCCCTGCTTGAATTGGAGCGACCGTTTGTGGAAGTAACCTCCGCTTTAAAGAAGACCACAGTTATTGTTGTTTATATTTATACTGTATACCACAGCAATCAAAATGTAAGAGGACGTTGTATTGGTACCGACATATTTTTTTAGTAAATGTTACTACTTCTGTTAAATGCTGATGAGTTTCTTGGGCCCATTCTTCTCATCAGCTAAAAGATATCTTGAATAGGTGACAGGAAAAAATATTAGACGATTCAAAAGAGCTTTTAATAAGTTTTGAATAAATTATAATTTCATTTCATAAATAACATTACCTTTTAGTTGTGTGTCGTGTTTTTGTCAGTGACAAACGTTCCTGGGCGCCACGGGGTAAAGGATTGGGTCAAAGTATGCAACAGCGAGTAATAAATAGCTTTGGTATCGCAATCATCTACAGGCGATGAAGATGAACAGGTTTTGGCACTCATTTAACATTAAAAAAAAAGTTTTAAGTAAACAGTCCCAGTTGAGAGGTTAATAATTTGACTGTCGTGTCGTATTATGGGAATGGATGTCGACATGTGAATAGATAGATACGTAAAATCAATAATACATTATGTGTAGTACAAAGGTAATGAATATGAATGTAGAGTGAGGACATTCAAAAACGTTTAACTTTAGTTCTACTAGTAAACGTATCAAATTAGGATCTTTAACTATATATTTTGCAGGTAACAGTAACAGTACTTGCACTAAACGGTAAGCTTGGCTAATGATTAGTTCTATGCTATCGTCAAAATATTAAAAGAGAGAGAGAGTCAAAAATATTCCCTTACTTTGAATTACTTCCTACGCGTAGGCGCACTGGCCCAGACTTGACACACACACCGTTCGCAAGCACAGCCGTATAGCTCACCATTGCGCCAATACAAAGCAGCTCTTGTGTCTCAACAGAATGTATCCTTGCTGCAAAACTATATTGAACTAATCTCACCAAATGGCATTTAATCTCATTATCAATACCCCTTCGTCCAGATGGTGTCTTCAAATAATGCATATGGAAATTATGAGCAACCACGGCCATAGTAGCTACAAATATAGCCACCAAGAGACTGACTATGCCAACTTTACTTGTTGTACTTCTATCGTCCCAAGGCATATTGATAAAATTACATTTGAATTCGTATTCTGCGTGCCTTACATCTTCAAAAATTTTATTGTTAACTTTTTCTTCCTCCATATTGACTTAGATAAAGTGTTCAGTTTATTAATACCTACCCACGAACATGTTTTATAGCGATATTGTGTAATCGTCTAAACAATATAATATAAATAATTAAATAATCGAAAAGTATGCGAGTACATAGATCTAGATGGTTACAAATTAAGGCCTGTCAATTCGAAATATACTCGAAGATGAAAGTTTGTAAGCGGGACATCTTAGATACGCACTCCTAACATAACTAATATTTTGATAATGAACATGTAAATGGATGAAGCACGATTGATTGCTTTTATATCCGTGAGCAGACTGAGATGTTGTCTCCCCCCACACAATGATTGGCTCTCTTGCATTCGTACTAAAATATAAAGAACTTTATAAAACTTTATAAATAAAACAGTGAACACAATAACTTTTTATTATTCTTAGATGGCAATTCTTGAATCTTCAGTAATTAATTAACCCCTTTAAATGTCATTTAAAAAAACATAGTTCGCATATGCTACAAAAAGACAGCCATTTTATTGAAATCAATAAGAGATAGGAGTAGGAGGATAGGAGTTTATAAACACATTATTTTCTAATTGCATGTTTAATTATTTCGACATCTAAAATGGAATAATAAAATACAGTGGTTACGTATAAATGAAAATAGTATTTTAGCAGAGTTTTACCTCAAATTTAGCTTAATGTCAAAGTTTTGGTGTGCCATTCTTTATTATAATCCCTAAAATCGTTAATCACAGACCGTGTCACAGACACGTATTATATTTTTCTGCTTTTAATTTTTTATATTTATTATAAATCACATATTTTATCCGTATTAGCATCATAGCACACATATCAACTGCGCTAGATGGCGCAGGTGGACAGCGCGTATGGTCTGCGATCTTCGAAGTTAAGAAACTTGCGCAATGGTCTGTCATTGAATGGGTGACCAATAACTTATTATCCCAAGTTCCTCCGTGCTTCTACAGTCGTTAGCACCCACCAATCTACACTGGGTCCAAGTAGTGGGTCACGGCCTAATCTTTCCATCTATTGGAGGATAGGCTGGTGATAATGATGACACATATCAACTCGGCAAGGGATTGGTACCAACTTACCCTTCGGCTTACTGCCAAAGAGTGTCCACCTAACGTAAGCGGGTAAGCAGTTCCGGTACGTTTGGATATGGTATGACTAGAGGACGCCACGCTTACGACTCGCCGACCGCTGGTTGACGGCTAGGCTGCACCAGTTCGATCAGCCATATAGACTCCATTTTAGGAGTCAGCACTTCCTAAAACACTTCTAACGGAGTGGTTAGTACATTTTAAAATTTGGCAGTTTTGTACAGTTTGGTGAGCTTTAACTCACCGGGAGTTACTTAACATTTATTGTCGTTCTTAAACTTACCATTGATTAAAACAAATAAAAAGAAACCATGTACTTAAACAAAACCATCTTAAGAAACATTAAGGCATACTTTACTTCAAGACTAATGTGAAATATATGTATTTTCAAAAATATCCGTAATTAACAAACATCCTATTAATATTATAAATATAAAAGTTTGTACGTTTGCATTGTATATTTGTTAAACTGAAATATTTATCATTCACAATGTTCTCTCCAAAATGTTACTTTTCATTTTATAAACAGTACCTCTCTCTGTCAAATGTCGCTTGAAAAGTACGGTTTGCAAAAAAAAACTGGGAACCCTTTTTTAGCACTCCGCTAATTCAAGAATAAAAACCAAACATTTGTAAACAAACAATAGCAAATATTGATAATTAATATCGGTTGAATTTTTTTTTTGACTTATTGAGCTTTGGCCGTGAATGGTTGATAACCTAAATCGTCAACCAAATGTCACTTTAAGTTGCGTTCAAAAACTCGAATTCAAACTTACATTTACGGATGCATGTTCGTATGTGACTACTAATAGTGCATGATTATTCATAACTACTCAGGCGGTAATGCAGAGATGAGCGGAATAGAAGAGCTAGATTCTGATTAATGTCTTTTCTCACAGTCTTAATAAATAAATATTAATAAAAATCGGTGGGATTTTTTCCTCAATCTTAGTAAAAAATGTTATTAAAAAATCTGATGCTTTCTCTCACTTAATCTTAATAAATAAGTTTGATTATATAAAAACTTTTTTTTGCTCACTCTACCTATTTCGTTTAAATTGACAGCTGAGTCATCACAATATGGAGCCCAGTCGGTCCTATTCTTAGTTGAATCGCATTATATTTTACTATATATACTTTTACATACTTTTTCTTATCGGGTCCTGGGAACACTGATGAGCTGTCACACGACCTCACAGCACTGAGCAGTAATCCATCTGCCACAGACATAAAAAAAGAGTTTATGGCGGGATTTCATCGAGTGCGGTTGGCTTCTTATTTTAATTATTCTTAAATTCGTTCATAGTGGATATTGTGAAATAAAATTGGTGTGATTTTGTGTTACAACCGTCTGCACAACTGAAGAATTAGTGGAATCTTTAAAATATACACTATTCCGGTCAAGTGGACGTGAGAACTTTATGTACTGTTGACTACCTCACTGAAGCTTATTGGAAAAGCCAACTCGATACATTTCGTGCCAAACACTACAAGTAACATTAGAATGAATCACACCGACGACATTCTAATGTAAAAAAAAAACAAGAATAATAATACTAAAGACTTGGCTGCATGGGCATTCTTCTCTTTGCCTTCCCTGAAAAGAGAGAATCTATAAAAAAAAGTAATCCATCACTGTTTTCAAATATGAGTCTTTGGCGGGATTACATCGAGTGTGGTTGGCGTCTTATTTTAATTATTCTTAAATTCGTTCATAGTGGATATTGTGAAATAAAATTGGTGTGATTTTGTGTTACAACTGTCTGCGTAACTGAAGAATTAGTAGAATCGTTAAAATATACGCTATTCCGGTCAAGTGGACGTGAGAATTTTATTGTAGTATTGACTACCTCACAGAAGCTTATCGAAAAAGCCAGCTCGATACATTTCGTGCCAAACACTTCAAGAAACATTAGAATGCGTCACACCGACATTCTAATGTAAAAAGAAAAACAGAATATTTTAACATAAGACTAGGCTGCATGGGCATTGTTCCCCTTGCCTTCCGTGAAAAGGGAGAACGTAACAAAAAAAAATGTTTTCAAATATCCTCAATGTAGACTGTGGCTGTTTTTAATATTAACTCTAAATCCTAGGTCCTTGTACTTGCACAAAGCCCTTCCCCAACATAAGCTGAGTTAAAAACAATATAAAAACCATCACCGGACAAACCTGGGCAAGAAATTTTGGACACACACACCGGATATTGGCCAAATCCCGGGGGAATCATCACTGAAGAAATCTAATTTAAGTTTTTTGGTTCCATGCGTCAGTTAATTATAAAATTATAACAGAAAAGCCCTAAAGATGCCAACAGTTATACTTTTGGACGTCTCTCTTTCTATGACAAGGCCAGTGCCATCAACAGACTCTTCAGAAAACCACAACAGGCTTACCATTTCGGCGACCGCTATAAGCGCCTTCTTAGATTATCTCAGTATCCATGCAAAATTGGAATATGTGGCCCTGGTATGCTTTTCATCTGCTTACGAAGGTAATTAAGTAACAGTTTAGAAGTCAGTGTTGTTATTCTATAACTTTATTTCACATGGTCAAACTTAGTAGAGCCTAACATTTAGTTATTTGTTTTCAGTGTCTGTTCCCTTCACCCGAGATTATGATAGTATTAAAAGTAAGTTGACACAGCTTGAAGAAGGTGACAAAACGTGCATAGAAGCAGCACTGATGGGTGTAAATCATTTAATTTTGAATGAATGGGGATCTCAAACTCCAGTACAAATTATATTGGTAGGTTGCACATATTGGTTAAATACTTAACATTTCTGTGATTTTTTAATTGTATGTTGTAAATTAATATTATTTTTGAATAAAAAAATATTCAAATTGTTAATTTTTTGTAGGTTACTGATGGTAGCTGCGGGACAGGTCCTATTGGCAGAAATCGTATTATGCAAGCACTGCCTCTTCCACCATCTTATCCAGCTAAAATACATGTATTGCCAGTTGTGTCACCTGCAGACTCCTGTCTGCAACATGGTATTCTATGAATCACATTATTTTTCAATAAAGCAGAGCCATAAAGAAATAAAATATATATTGAAACCTTGAACAAAACTATTTTAAATGTATTTTTACAGCAATGCCACTCTACCAGAAGATAGTTGATATGGCCGTAAACCCATCCAACAACACCAATGGAACAATTTCTAGGGGAGCTATTTTCTGTCCAGATCAACTCACAGTGCCAGGTGTAAGTGTAAAAATTTACATTAATATATTATAAAGAACCACAATCAACAAACTGAGTGCTATGACTTTAATTATAGGTACTTGAATTTTCCTAGTCGTAAACACTCAGTGATGATATGATAAGTTCATAGTTCAATAATATTTTAATAAATCTTTTTGAGCTTTAGCTGTGAACAGGGTTGTGGAAAGAGCAATATTAGACAACTAGCACCCTGGGTTGTAATTATTTACATAGCAAATAACATCAACCTCCTGAAGAAGTCACTGAAGACGTGATGAAATATTTTTTTATATCAATTTTTTTATGATATAGGTGATAGCATCAATGAATAGACTCTGTGAACAACATTATCAAGAATTTTGGTGCTCACTCAAATGTGGCCAGTTGGAAGCTCGAGTGCAACTGTTCCCAGCGCCACAAACAATAGCTCATGAAGGCCTAGCTACCACTCATACACTGACGCACCAGTTGCATGTTGTGGGTTTTATTAGCCAGCAAGAACTAGGTAAATTATTTGTACAATGTGCGCTCCCAATATTTTTTTTACTTAGCCATTATTTATTGGTACATTTTAAGAATTGCCATTCAATTGATGTCATTACGCAATTGTTACATTGAGCAACAAATGGTTTTTCATAATTTTTGTTTAACTAATAAACTATATTGATTAAGTGACCCCCTTCTTTATATTTTTACTGCTGATTTTTGTTGGTGATAATATTAATAGTTAATGGGTTTTAGGGGTCTCACCACCACTGAGTTGTATTGCTTGCTAGCCCTGTCCGCAGGCCCTCTGTCTGTGAGATACTTAAATGATTTGTTTTATTGCATTTTAATACGCATTTTTCAAAGATACATAAAATCATTCATATAGGTACACCTATTGCCATCAGTAAACATCTAGTTATACCACAAGCTCAAGTGGGTGGAAACAACACAAATAGAGAGAACTATGGATCAAAAACACCTACAAAGGTAAGATGCTATGCAATAAATTATCACCTATTATAATTTTAAAGAATTATAATAATGATGTCTTGATTTTATTTGCTTCATAGGAGGGTTCAGGCACAGATAGTTCAGCTACGGAAGAAGATATGTCTGACCCCAGTAAAGTGCCCAATTTCTGCGTTTTACTTCATGGTGCTTTAAAAGTAAGAAATGTTTTTGGTTACCTACCTATTTTATAGAGTTTTGTGCAAACAAACTGATTTGATACATAAAACAATCACAACATGATGGTTGATGTTGACAGTAAGGCAGTGTCAGCGAGCTGTGTGTTGGGCTTAATGCAACGCAAAAGTTTAAAAATATATCCCATCATTAGCTTATTAATATCCCTGCTGCAGGAGCACTGGCCTTCCCTTAAGATGGAATAGGGATAACCTGGACCATAACCCGTCACACTGACCCAGTGCGTATTGATGGGTGCTAACGACTGTAGATGCAGCTGAGACCAACGGCTTAACGTGCCTTCCGAGGCACGGAGCAACGCAAGATGATCAATTCTTTGATCTGAACCATATCTGATCCGAACTTAGACTGACCGTGCTAACCACTCGCGCAATGGAGTTCATGAAAAGTGTTCAAAATTTTCCCAGGTGGAAAGTATGTCTGCGATCGTTCAGCTTGGGGCTGATTGGTGGGGCACTTTGTCCGCGTGGTGCGAGGCGTCGAGAGCGCGTCGCTCCTGCCTTCTGTTGAGCGTACTGAGGCCTGGAGTCACGGCTGCACCCTGGCTCGGACCGCTGGACCAACTGGGGCCGACTGAAGACAACACGTCTACTGGTAAAATTTTGTCTTTTACTCGGATCAGACTGGTAGGGCACCTTGTCCGCGTGGTGCAAGGCATCGAGAGTACCTCTTTCTAACCTTCTGTTGAGCGTACTTAAGTTATCTGAAGAAAACACCTCCACAAGTATAGTGTGATTCAAACTTAATGGCGGCTGTGAAGTTAGCAGCGAGCGCAACAATGCGCAGGTTTCAGTTCAAGGGACATATGATTTAGTTTAATGCGCCGCAAATTCACAGCCGCCATGAAGTTGGAATCGAACTCTAAAATGCTATTGTTCTTTAGTAAAGTGTTGCTCAAAATGAATACGGGCAAGGGCGTCGCCAAGGGTGGGCAGAGCCTACGTTACCTACGTACGGCCCCGTCGCAAGGGGGGCCTAGAGATCAAATGTAGCTAGCCGCAAAGCGACAAAAGTGAGATTGCGCCCCCCCTTAGTCATAAGCAGGTGACGCCCATGAATATGGGTGAATAAAATTTTATTTAATTTCAATCCCCACAGAAACATTTCCAATTCGATCATGGCGTTCATACAGCGGTGGGGGGTCTGGCTGCGCCTGGGCGAGGCCGCATGCGCTTCTTGCTGACGTACAGAAGGTTCTCAGACACGCGAGAAAACTGCCCGACAAAACGCAACATTTGTATAAGGCAAGACCTCTTTACGATCCTTAAACTCTTGACTTATTTAGATCACAATTTTTAGTTCCAAAAAGCTCTAAAGAAATTTTACCTAATTTCTGTAAGTCTTTAAATCTTTTCGTCTCGTTTTACTATATGCCATAGACTGGGATCTCCCTAATACTTGGTCACAGTAACGCCTCTAGCGGAAACTGTTGGGACACTGTAGCCAAAGCGATGATACATGCTTTTGTAGACTATCAAACTCATACTAATACGTATTAGAATCGCGACTAAAAATCCTTCACAGTTTTTGGTTTTTCAAAGAAATCGCATCGAAAGTATAATCTGTTTCAAACTGTGGCTGGTGGCTGTGAAGTCGCGACCCAGTAAAGAAAATGTAGCGCGCGGGGTTTTTCTGTATTAAAACCTGTGCACAGTTGCGCTCGCTGCTAACTTCATAACTACTTCATAAAGTTTGAACTCACACTCAAAGTTGTATGTTTATTTATCGTACAAATTGTACGAATTATAATTTAAGTTCACACTCTACACAGGAAATATTTTAATATTTATTCTTTTTAGGAGTTGAACCGCCTCAGACGCGCAGCCATATCGCTCGGCTTCTCAGAGCTGCTGTCCTGCGTGGGCAGTGCCTTAGAGCGTGAATGTGCCGCGTTGCCTTCGTCAGCGCCACCAGAATGCGCGTTACAATTGGCCCACGCAGCCGCCGCCCTACGCGACCCTAGAACTGTCCTCGACATTAAACACACCCTCCAACCGCTGGCTACTAACTTCACAGTCACTTCGATGTCACATTAACATAAAAAATTAAAATTATAAGTTTCAATGTGAAGTGTTTTTGTGCATTATATAATAAGGGTCTCTTTATATGCACGTGTAGCAGCAATGATATTGAAATAATAAACAAAATTACTTTGTCTATACACATAATAAAATGGTAGGAAAGTCAAAACTGTAATTGAATATTTTTTTTAAAGAATACTTGGGGTGTGATCTACAATTGATATCGAAGCTAAAAATATAGTTTTTAGAATATTTGTCTGTTTGTCTGTATGTATGTCCAGGATAAACTAAAAAAGTACTGCATGGATTCACTTAAAATTTGTCACGAATATTATTAAGAAGTTGGGTCAAGATATATTATACATCTTATTACGAAACTCCACCCCTAAGGGGGTAATACGGGGATTGGAAGTTTGTATGAAAGTCCTATGTTTTTATAGTAAGAGACTTGAAATTTAACATGTATGCTCTATACATCTTTAGAAATCACGCCCTTTTGAGATCAAAAAGTATATGCAAATAACTAACTCCACGCGTACGAAGTCGCGGGCGGCCGCTAGTATAGAATACATTGATAAACCTTGACTTTTCAGAGTTTTTTTTTTGTAGAAAGCACTGTTTAGTCTGTAGTTTAAAATTTAAGTTTACCTGCTAAGGGCCTGCGCTGCGTTAATGTGCTCCCGTTTAACGCAGCGCACGCCCCTAAAACTATATGCTGAACCGCGCTTTAAACATAAAAAATCTGAAGAGCAAAATGCTCTAGGTAAAAAATAGATGACGTGACGAGTGCGCCCTTGACCCTACAACTGGCCCATGCAGACGTCAGGCCTCCGCCATCCCTAGCTAAAACACTTAATCAATATAGTTTATTGGTTAAACAAAAATTATGAAAAACAATTTGTTGCTCAATATAACAATTGCGTAATGACATCAATTGAATGGCAATTCTTAAAATGTAATAATAAATAATGGCTAAGTAAAAAAAATATTGGGAGCGCACATTGTACAAATAATTTACCTAGTTCTTGCTGGCTAATAAAACAGTCACCATAAATCAAATGATACCTCGCATGTCACGTCGTTCAGACTGTAGGCTGTAGGGCATAGAGAAAAGTAATACACTGGAAACTGTAGGGAGTGCCAAAGAAACGGACATACATACATACTTATATACACTCAAAAAACATTACTCTCCGCAGTCGAGTAAACATAATATTACGCCATCTTGGATCTTAAAATTATTGTCGCAATCGTAATCAGCACTATGAACTTTATGAAGGTTAGAGAGAGGGAGAACGATCGCTACGTACTAAAGCATTAGCCCGCCTGACCCTGAAAATTTGTAGAATTTATAGTTCATTTTTCAGCCACCAGTCGCGCTGCCGTCGGTAAGTAGTATCTGTGGAGTTATCTGTATATGAGTACAAGTAGATAAAGTTAGTTGAATATTGTACAAATTTTCTTCGCGGCATTGGCCATTTCAAATTAGCCCGCTTTTATTGAGACAACTTAGCGATCGCAGCGACTCACTTATTTTTTCCATATTTCTAGGACACTATTTTCTACAGCGATCGTTTTCCTTATCTCTAACCTCCATGATCAGCACTCTCGAAAACTATGAATACAATACACATTTTATTTTAGGTCTAATTAAAAAAGGCAATAGGCTAATTGACTCTTTTTGGAAAACGGTTTTAAATGGTTAATAAATGTTCTATTAGATCGAAAAAAAATGTATTGTATTTTTTTGAGACCTAGAAAGCTACAAATCTTTAATTTTAAAATAGACTTTTCATGGACATACAAAAACGCTGTCGGCTATTTTAGTCTATAGATATCTATGTTAGTTATGACGCCGACGGTAGTAAACAAAAACTCCTAAGCACGTAGAAAATAACCTATCAAAGTTTATAATAAAAAAAACATGATTTCTAATAAATACCACGAAAAATATAGCAATTATCATTATTGTATTGTACGAGAATGTAAAAACACATCTTTGAAGACTCCAGGAAATTTGTGGATTAAAGTGCCGAATAAATTAACCTACGCAATACCTGGTTACAACTGCAACTTTATCGACTCATAGTAAAATTTATTTTTGCGAAGATCACTTTGATGTAAGTACTCATTGAATAATATTTTAAGTCCCTTCATTTAGTATCAGTTTTAATAATACAAGTTTTAAAGTTATGAAGACGTCACAATCATGGCGGATGTGGCGAACAGCGTTTTTAGTGTTTAAAAAGTATAGACTAAAAATTATTTTTTTAAATTTAATTTCTACAACAATCTTCTGCTTTTATGAAGTGAAATCGATATATTTAGGTTCCTTAGACCAAATACTTTAAGAAATAAACATTTCTTTAATACAATTCGACATGAGTCAACTAGTCTATGGGTACGGCCAGAGTGCACTCAGATTCAGACTCAGAAAACAAGCGCGAGAAATAAACAGTGTAGTTTAAGCAGGGTGGCCATAGTGGCAGCAGGCAACCTGCTTAAACTACACTGTATATTTCTCGCGCTTGTTTTCTGAGTCTAAATCTGAGTGCACTCTGGTCGAACCATGAAGGTGTATAAAAGGTGGAGGGATTACTTACAAGTAGTACCTTGAAGCAAAAAAATATGACCTTGAATGACGTCACGTATGTTTCTTGTCTCTTTCTATAAGGTGACCATGTCGGTCGGAACTTGTGTACAGGACAAAGTGCGCAATGGTGTTGATATTGCGCACCTTGTATTAGCTTGCTACATATTAGTAATCTGTGTTGTATTATCACGAGTTGCCAATGATTAAAGATTGCGAGTTGCTCATTCCCATTATGTTTCCTCTGTGGATTTTCACACACTACGGTCCTGCGCTTTCCGCATCCAGTGAAAATTCCATCCATTTTATTCCTATAATGTTTTTATTAAATTTCACTTGGATAGACCGTAGTTACTAATGCATAAAGACATTCCAAATGATTTGTATATTGTCTTCATATTTATTGTAAAGAATTTAATAATGTCTTTGTTACCAAAACCATATGTGTACTAAGTAGTGATGAAGTTTCAGTTAGTCGGCCACGACGCCTGAATACCACGCCTAGCATTCATGAAAGTAGAAGGAAACTTTATGAACTACTACCGGTGTTCTGGGCCCGAGCTCTGGGCCGGTAAAAAACGACACCTTGTATACAGGGTGTAAAAAAACCGATTACGAAGTTGAAGGCCAGGTATTTACCACATCAGGACGATCATTTTTTTCTTCTGGACCATACCTGGGAAATTTATGGTTATGGAGATATTGAAGGTCAAAGCCAAAATATTTTTTTCAAGATATATACATTAATATTTTCAAAACGTTATTTAGAAACTTTTTTATCGACGCACTTACACATACGCACACACATACACATTCTTTGCGTAGCGCCACAGTAGCGCGCCGCGCTATACATTACGTACTGGAAAAAAAATATTTTTTTTAACTTAAATCTCTCCTTTTTATTCTGTAAAGAGAACGAAAAGGATGCACTGTTGTCAAATTTAAGTTTAGCTTTAGAGAATCATGCCAGAATTCACATCATTATAAACTTATTTAAAAAAGTATGTCACTTAGCAAAATTTAATTATTGAAGTTCGAATATTAAGAATAATTATAGTGACTGCTAATGAATGCAGATTAAAATTATGCACGTTAAGCGATTATGATGCATCTCAACCGCTAATGTGCCTTCCGAAGCACGCAGTAACGCAGATTATATTATGGACTTTTGGTCACTCATATAATGACCGGCTAAAGAGCTAGTTACTGCGCTATCGAGTTCAATATTTAAAATATAAAGAAAACAAATAATATTATTTTCAACTTTATTTATTTCAAGAACAATATCCACAGCAATTTGTTATATTAAATATAGGTATTACAGTTACGGATTTTCATATACATAAGTTTTAAAAGCTTAGAAAGCTTAGAAGCATACCATACTATGACATACGCGAGATGTGTGCAAAGCATGTCTGCCTGTATAAATGTGTGTGTGTTTGTGTTTCTGCATGTGTGTGTTGGTGTATCTGTTTTTTTTTGTATTTGTATGTTGCCAATCCACCAAGATCAGTGTAGTCGATAATCCCATTGCAAACGTCTCATATAGAAATCTCATATCAAGCAAAGTGCGCCTATCCTCAAGAGTGACTAATCGATGAAAACGACATTCTTCCCTATAATCTGTAAAGGTATTTCTTTTTGGCATCAAATTTGACTTTCATAAGTGTGCAAATTGTACCTAAATGAATAAAGAAATTTTGACTTTGACTTTTTCTGTTGAGATGCTTAACACTGTATCGATTCTAAGTCATGTTTCCACAATACATTACCTTTAAACAATTGTTTAAAGATAATATATTGTGGATTCCAAATATTACAACAATACTTGAGAATACTACGACAGTATGTAAAGTGGTGCATGCCAATTCTAAAATAAACCCTAATATAAGCTATGTTAACTATTGTTGCTACGTAGGTACGTGGTAGGTATCGAAAGCACTATATCGTAGAGGTATACAACATACAAAAGAGAACCGATTATCGATCCCTGAGGCACAGCGGATGGTATTGTAACATAATCAGATAAGACCTTAGTTCACCCATAACTACAGCTCGAATTCGATTGCGCAGGTAAGACTCGAACCACCTAAGCAGGTCTCCACGTATCCTGATTTTCTGAAACTTACGGAGAATCTGTATATATCGCATCGATCGATTTATAAATGGCTAAAAATTACAGTTTTATGTAATTTTTGTCGTTTGCCACGTAAATGGCTTAACAGTTTTTCCGAGCGGCTTTTGGATTCAGTTTTAAATCGCAGCTTTAAAAAGTGATTCACAATTTGTTTTAAGATTTTTATTTCGTGCATACTAGCGCAAGTAATTGAATTAGTAGCGGGGTGAACAAACATTTGTGCTAACAACGGCGTGAAATATTGCACAATGTTATTTAATAATTTATTTTGTACATTATTTATTGTAAGCTGGCCCATAATCGATGCTCGCCTAAAAACAGCATCTGTATGTTTTACTACTTTAAACGCAGCAACTGAGGGTAAACATAACTTGCCTCTATTTACGAAGGTAGTAAATGTTTGAAATTTATTTAAATTTAAACAATACATGTGATCATTTGGTGTGTCATTAGGTGCTACTAAGAAATTGCTGCAATATTCACAGGAGACGCGTGTTAAAATTTGTTTAACTATGTACCCTGTTATATAATATAATATATTTTTTTGGTATAGCGTTGTGTTAATTGATTCTAAGTGGTTAATCAATTCCTCCTCATTATCCGAAGAATCTTTTTGTTCTGCACTTTTTATTAAGTTTGGGGAATTTTTGAAATCTAATATACGTGCCGTTTCGTATCCGACATCTATACAATTAGCATTTAGCGAAGGTTGGATCGAATTGCGAAACAACATTTTTCGCATAATATATCTGAATTCTAATGGGCTTGGGTTGTCTTGTGCTCGACCGCGAGCTCTAATGCATGAAAAAAATATTTCCAAATTGTCCTGGGAACATTTGAAAGTTAATAAATACTTCATTGGATCTGATTTCATTGTACACAAATCAGTTGCCATTAGCGATAAACTAATCATATTCATAAGAAATCCTATGGCAAACGTCTTTCTGGCATGATTTAGAATATTTTTACCATTAATAGTTAATGATTTAAGGTAGACTTCACTTTCAGTAAAAATTCGTTCCCAGTAAGTTTTATTTTTCATTGATAAAGGTGATTTATAACTTTTACCAAAAGGAGATTTAGAATTCATTAAATCGAAAAGTCTATCAATAATTCTTAAAAACTCAATTGTTGCTTCACTATTAGCGAATTCAGGATGTCCACTAGCTCGTAAAAAATCAATCGCATCAGCAACAGATGAGCTAATCACTTGGGCAGCTAGTCTGACGTTCATTTTCTTGTTTTTAAAATCAACATGTGAGCCACTTAATTTGTTTGCAAATTTCAAACCTTCTTTTTCTTGTAAATTGTGTAATTTTTGAATATACTGAAAACTTATATCACCAGATTCAGATTTTAAAGTAAAATCTGCCAGAGTATTCCGAGCTAGTTTCAGCATATGCGCCGCATCTAATAAGCAGTAGATATTGGTGTGGCCGTTTGGATGCAGAAAAAAAGGTCTAAAATCTTTTTCGTTCAAAGAACAGCCCAGATGTTCATACGCCTTTACATTAGATGAAGCTCCATCACAAGTTAATGACCGTACAGTGATAGAGACATCATGCAGTAGCATTTTAGCCGTTTTTATCAATTCCGACAATAATTTCCCTGGCAAACAATTGTCAGTGAAAAAATAGGCAATCGGACATTTAAAATGATTAGTATAAGAAACTATTTGAAGGACTAGAGCTTCCGACGCCAATTTTTCAGAGTCATGCACTGCAATTCCACCTAAATCTACATACCCAAAAACTTTGTCCAATTTTGGGTCATGGGCCAAATCCTGCTTTAAGGCCATGCTATCGAAAATGAGCGATACATTTCTTAAATACCCTTTTTCGGGTAGTTTGACTTGTTCTCGTAAAAAACCTAATACTTCCGTCATAAAGCCGACATTGCAATTGAAGGAAGACAAAGATCTCCTTATGGTGGATACATGGGGCAAAGATGTATATTTTCTTAAAAACTCATACGCTTTAGGGGAGTAAAAATGTAAAGTGAGCGCGAATGCCTTCACCTCGTCACTATATCGAATTCCCTGTGGGTTGGTCGGTCTTTTTTTAAAATACTTGCATATGTCTGAAAAATTGCCCTCAATGATATTTTCAATTTCAGTTTGGGACGTGTATTTCTTTACAATAGCAAGTAAAGATTTCATATTCTTGATTGAAATATTTTTTCGGACAATTTTTTGCACCAACGCTTTATTCTTCTTCTGGAGTATTATTTCTTTTTGTGTTTTCAGTTTAGCTTGAACACATTTATCTCTAATTCTGTGGCTGGAAGTCAGAATATTTTCGTTATGGATCTGAAAAAAATATAGCCAAATTTAAAGGGGCCTTTGGAAAGCGTCATCATAGTGACTATGATGACGCTATAACGAATATATTATATGTTATGATGAATATACTATGACATAGTCTATTGACGCTTGCTATACCATTGTTTCACTCCCCACTTTGCCTATACTGACCACATTCCCTACCCCGTGGAGCTCTGGAAACAAAATCTCATACACACACACATATAACACTAAATAAGGTTATATTTTTATGTAGAGCCCTGAAAACTGAGTAAAGTTTTGAAAACTGAGTACAGAAACACAACATCACCAAAAAATGTGTGATTTCACTGTAGTCTGCTGTAAGGTGGAAGTTACTTTCAGAGAAAGGTGTTCCAATTAAAGTAGAAAATTATGTGTGTCCTAAATGTATAACAACAGAATTTAACAAAATTATATTCTATCGAAATGTTTAAAAAACCTTACATTGACTATATCTTTTAGGATTCTGACGTTCTGTTTATCATAATTAGAGCTGTTGTGAGGTGGTGCTGGACCGATCATTGAACTTGTTGGCAGTGAAGTACTCATTGTTGGCAGCATATATGTTTGACTAAAAGAACGCCCAAAAGCCTAAAAATTAATGGATATTTATTAGTTTCTAGTGGAATAAAATAATATATATTATATTGAAATTAAATCAATATGAGGATGATTACTGAGACTAGATCCGGGAATGACGAGGGAATAATTTTCATGGGAGCAGAGTTTATAACTGCTTCAGCTAGATCAGTCACTGGTAGCATAGACTCTTCATGTGATAATTGGCTATGGATCTGAAAAGAGGACATTTTATTTTATCAATCATTAACGATTTAAATTATTAATTATAGAAACTTGCTGGTGGAACTTTTTTTTTAATTATTATTAAATGACTTAATAATAATATCAGCATGGATGTCTTGCCATGGCCGGATCGCTTGAGGAGGAAGGTATCATTTTTAAAAAGGCAGTGCTCGTACTTGGTATTGTAGGATCAGTTACCTTTACCACAGACTCTTTATGTAATGATTGATTGCTTAACTGAAAATTTAATATTTTTTAAATGATATGAGAGGTCACTGACAAAAGCAAATGTCAATGCAACACATACCTACTTATTTTAGTACGTTTGTAACTCGTAAGTACGGAAAAATGACAAGCATAATCTATCTTCCAATATGAGGCTTCTAATATGAACTTTGTTCACTAGTATAAAAATGTACTATTATGTTAAGGTTGCACACAAATTAACAACTTACCAGATTTTCTTTAGCCTTATATTGTGTTATGCCTGTTGATGGAGCATCACTATTTACAGATTTAAATTTAATTTCCTTTAGAGTTCTACTTGTAGAAGCTTGTCTGGTACAAGCCTAAAATTAAAATAAAAGATATTTAAAAGTATTTTTACCCAAAAGAGGTTAGATATGTACTATTTTATATTTTATGATAATAATTAGGGATGTTATGGATATGAAATTTCGGTTACGGATAGGATACGGATATAGGAATGATTATTATACCGGATACGGTTACGGATACGGATAATAAATTATTTCGGATTATCCGTTAGTTTCGGTTACGGATATTATATTTTTAAGGAATTTTAAAAGTAAAATACTAATAGGTAATAAAGTAGTTTTATTTCGTTTTTGGCAGGAATTACAATCAGTCTGTGAGTAATTATTACAGCTATTTAAAATAAAAATAAATATAAATAATTATATTATATTGAGTATTATCTAAATTTTAGATGATTTAGATCAAAAACACCTAAAATGAAAATGTAATAACAAAATTATTACTTATACTGAATCAGTAATTTCGTATTAAAAGAAAATATTGAAATCAGAATTAAATTAAGTTTACTATAACTATAATTTAAGTCGAACATAACAATCATAGCTTCCTTTTTTATAATTTGTGCAAACATAACAATCATATCTTCCTTTTTTATTCTGAACTTAATCATACATTGTCTTACATTAATTTATAATAACATTAAACATTTTCAATAATCAAATTTTATCAAAGGTAAATTATACTTGACAAAAAGTAATTTCGCAGCCTTATCACCAGAAAGTCTATTTCTTAAAGGATCATAAATTAACCCAGCAGCACTGAAAAGCTGTTCACTCGGTACACTGCCAGGCGGCGGAGAGAGGTACTGTCTGACTAAAGCACTTAAACTGTTGTACTTCGTATGCATTTTCCACCATAAAAGTGGATTTTCACTGAGTGTCAACCTTTTCTCTCTATTGTATTCATTTAACAATGCTTTTTTGACAATTAATTGATTGGGTACTGTATCATCCTCATCACCACCTACGTGCTCTTCTTCGTCACTTGCGCTTAATATTTCAGCTAGACAAGATTGAATGTATGAACTTGTTGATGGCAGCTGAGTCCGTGATCTCTTTGGTGAAGAAGGACCTTCATCATGAGAAGTTCTTGAACACCCAACGATTCCTAGAATCTCTGTCTGTACTTGTTCCTTAGTAATTTCATTGAAAAACTTGAGCTTGTAGCGTGGATCTATATAAGTAGCTATTGTATATATTTTATTATTCTCAATGTCCTGAAATCTGACGCTGATATTATGGACCATATTTGTAATCATTAATTTAAAGTTTTCTGATGTGTCTTGTTTAGTCTTTTCTGTTTCTAATGTGTTTTTAAGAGTATAGACTAAAGGAATCACTGAAGCTATTGTCGCAGTTGCACTACTTAACTCCTGTGTAATTTCTTCGAATGGCTTTAATATTGCAATACACTTTTCCAAGTCGAGCCATTCATCAGCAGTAGGAATCGGTATAGTATGCGCGCCCGAATACAGTATCAAGGAGTCTTTTAATTTCAATATTCTATCCATCATATAATAAGTCGAATTCCATCTGTGAATAAATAAAACATATGTGAAATTAAACAACGTACAGAAGAAAAAAAAAACATTTATATAAAATTATTTTAGTTTAAAATAGAAATATCTTACCTTGTAGAACAATCCTGAACGATACATAACTCTGTTTGGTTCAGTCTTTCTGTTTGAATTTGTTTTAATTCATTTTGAGCAATTAGTGAGTGATGGAAGTGAGTAGCAATTTTTTTGCACTTTGTAATCACTGGCGAGATAAATTCTTCGGTTTCCATTGCTGATCTAACACATAATTGAAGTTGATGAATAGTACAGTTTGCATCAGGGAAATTGGCCGTTCTCATAGCTTTTATCATATTTGATCCTTTGTCGCGTAAAATACAATGAACTGATTCATTGCTTAAGCCCCAATCTTGCAAAATATTGTTTAAATTATTCGCTATAATTTCACCTGTGTGCCGACCCTCTAATTGTTCACACTTGAGTATTATAGAAACTCTTTCATAATTATTCGTGATGCCATGAGCAGTAAGACTAAGTAACGAGACATTTGCGCTGGGCTCGGACCACACATCTGTAGTAAATGATAACTTCTCAAATTGTTTCAATAAGTCCAGAATCTTTAACTTCATTTTGTTGTAGATATCATTGCACAGTAAATTAGTAAAGTACTGCCGACCTCTAAGATTATAACGTGGTAAGGCTGCCTGCACTAATCTTTGAAATCCCACACCTTCTACAAAATTAAATGGCAAGTTTTGTAACGCTATCATTTCAGCCACTAATTTATCAATTTCTTTTTGTTTAGTATTAGTTTCATCCCAGGCACCTTTGTTTTTTAACGAATCTTTGAGTGTCAACTGTTTTTTACACTCTTGTAAAGGTGTCAGCTGCTTGGCTGTTTGTAGGTTATTTTGTTGGTTACCTTTTTCCAGTAGCAAAAGTTCTTCGTACTTATCACTATGTTGTGATTTAAGGTGAAGTTTTAGCGATGTAGTCCCACCTCCTTTCCTTGAAAACCTTTTACCACACTGTTTACATTTTGCGGAATCGGTCATTTCATCAAAAAACGACCAAACTGCACTCGACTTAGGACGCATTTTGTACAAATTCAATCGATTCCGTAACACAACCAACACTTTGTCAAAGAAGAAAAAAAACAAACAATACGCGTAGCTTGTGTGTCGGCACTGGCAGCGGCCGGCCGATCAAAACAACTTGTCATAACGTGTCTCAATTAGGCTCCGCCCCTATCCGATACTATCCGAAACTTTCATTTCGGATTCGGTTACGGTTACGGATGATTTTTTATATCGGATATCCGATAGTTTCGGTTACGGTTACGGAGCTCCCTAACATCCCTGATAATAATATATTACCATAGGACAACTTGAAATACAATCACATGGTTGTGATAAATAATTAGGTACAGCACTGCTTAAAAGGTGTCCAGGTCTCTCTGGATCATAGTTTTCTGGAGTAAAATGCAAACTGCAGATCTTAGCTGTTGGATAAAATTTGCCCTTAATTGGTATAATAGATAACCAATTATTTCTTTTTATTAAATCCTTTGGAAAGCTGTAATATAAACATCATTATAACAATAATATAGAATATGTTTAATCTACTATTTCAATATTGTTTCATTGCAGGCAGTATTATATATATTAATTACTCTCATTGAAATTTCTGCCATGATGTGTTTGTTTACTGAACATACTTAAAAAAAGAGATGTTCATTTTTTAGTATAGTAAAACCCCCACGACAAATCATACAATTAAACGAAAGCTTATGCTCAACGGATCTTAAATATCCTTTTTTTAACTTTAAACCCTTGCATTATTGAGTAATTTTAAAAAGTGTATTCAAGAAATCTAACCATTAAATCGAATGTTCTCTGATTAATTAATGTAAAAAAATTACATCCCTATTATTAGTCAGAAACAAGATCAAAAACCAACTTGCTAATAACATTGATTTATAAAAAAATAAATATTAATAGTTGTAGGCTGAACCAAATGGAACCCTAGATCGATGCCTAGTTATAAAAATATTTTGACAAGACAATGGACACGATTCTGGCATGATTCCCTGAACCTAAAATTGAATTTTTTAATAGTGTATCCTTGTCGTGCTATATAACAAATGAAAAAGAGAGACTGTTGTCAGGTTTGGATTTGGAGAATCATACCAGAATTAGCCCCAACATATGACATTGACGTGTTACATTTTAAATTTTAGCTTTGAATATTGATTTATTGCACCAGAATAAATTGCTGTTTTTTGTTAAAATGCAGTGATTTAAAATTATAAGAAATTCAAAAAAACATACTCTTTCATCTCATATAACTTTTGTCTTGGGGGGTGGCCGAATACCAACCTCCATACAAACTCAACATCTCCTTTGAAATCTTATTCACAATGCCGAGCATAGACATACTATTAAAGGGTATGTAAGGTTAATGAAACAAGATTTAAATTTTGAAAACAGCCCATTATCAATATGTTAAGCCAATTAAATAGTTTGTATAATAATTCCTTTCTCTAAATTTCCCAAAATATTGTTACCTTACTTGAAAATATTATTAAACTTAACTCGACAGATACGGCATAACAAGTACCAAAATATGATTGTTATACCATCAGACTCACCGTTTTAGGCACCAAAATAAATAATATTCATTAATTTCTAACGGATATTAGCAATTTACAAAAATTATAGCAAAACAATTCCTTTTAGTATTTAAAACTTCGAGGTGGTGAAAATTATTTGACTTTTCACAAATGACAATTCTGTCAGTGTTACCATTTTATTCAGGCAGATTACAAACAAATAGTTACACGATTACATACCCGTCATATATGCTGTTCGCCCATAAACATGATCCAAATCCCACAAAATTCGTCCTGCTTGGTAGTCTTCGAAACATCACTGGAAAACTTTAAAAATCACTTCCCGCGTGCCACTCCGATTTACTTTACCTTTCTGCGTAGTTTCGTCTTAATTTATTACAGTTTAATCCAAACATTAAAAAATACAAAAGGAAAACTGTTCCACAACTGAAACTCGATGACAGCTGATGTACATAAGTTTGGTGTTACCAGACAAATGAATAATGTTAGTTCCTCAAACATTCATGTCACGACTTTATAGACAAACTGTACATAACAAAATTGCCCATTTTTTGAAGTATGAAGAAATAATTTTATGCAAAAACGTTATTTTTTCCAAAAAAAAATCAACAACCTGCATAAACATTAAACAATAATATAGTCAATTGAAATACGAAAAAAGAAGTTTTGATATCGGAATAGGGTTCGACCCATGAAGGTGTATAAAAGGTGGAGGGATTACTTACAAGTAGTACCTTGAAGCAAAAAAATATGACCTTGAATGACGTCACGTATGTTTCTTGTCTCTTTCTATAAGGTGACCATGTCGGTCGGAACTTGTGTACAGGACAAAGTGCGCAATGGTGTTGATATTGCGCACCTTGTATTAGCTTGCTACATATTAGTAATCTGTGTTGTATTATCACGAGTTGCCAATGATTAAAGATTGCGAGTTGCTCATTCCCATTATGTTTCCTCTGTGGATTTTCACACACTACGGTCCTGCGCTTTCCGCATCCAGTGAAAATTCCATCCATTTTATTCCTATAATGTTTTTATTAAATTTCACTTGGATAGACCGTAGTTACTAATGCATAAAGACATTCCAAATGATTTGTATATTGTCTTCATATTTATTGTAAAGAATTTAATAATGTCTTTGTTACCAAAACCATATGTGTACTAAGTAGTGATGAAGTTTCAGTTAGTCGGCCACGACGCCTGAATACCACGCCTAGCATTCATGAAAGTAGAAGGAAACTTTATGAACTACTACCGGTGTTCTGGGCCCGAGCTCTGGGCCGGTAAAAAACGACACCTTGTATACAGGGTGTAAAAAAACCGATTACGAAGTTGAAGGCCAGGTATTTACCACATCAGGACGATCATTTTTTTCTTCTGGACCATACCTGGGAAATTTATGGTTATGGAGATATTGAAGGTCAAAGCCAAAATATTTTTTTCAAGATATATACATTAATATTTTCAAAACGTTATTTAGAAACTTTTTTATCGACGCACTTACACATACGCACACACATACACATTCTTTGCGTAGCGCCACAGTAGCGCGCCGCGCTATACATTACGTACTGGAAAAAAATATATTTTTTTTAACTTAAAAATAAAAAAAAATCCCACGTATAATATTTTGTAATATGACTTGTTTGGGTGTACAGAATGCTTAGTTTAAGTCTTTGTCATAAGTTTTTTTACACTCTGTATAAAAACAATACTAGATATTATAAACTTATTTAAAAAAGTATGTCACTTAGCAAAATTTAATTATTGAAGTTCGAATATTAAGAATAATTATAGTGACTGCTAATGAATGCAGATTAAAATTATGCACGTTAAGCGATTATGATGCATCTCAACCGCTAATGTGCCTTCCGAAGCACGCAGTAACGCAGATTATATTATGGACTTTTGGTCACTCATATAATGACCGGCTAAAGAGCTAGTTACTGCGCTATCGAGTTCAATATTTAAAATATAAAGAAAACAAATAATATTATTTTCAACTTTATTTATTTCAAGAACAATATCCACAGCAATTTGTTATATTAAATATAGGTATTACAGTTACGGATTTTCATATACATAAGTTTTAAAAGCTTAGAAAGCTTAGAAGCATACCATACTATGACATACGCGAGATGTGTGCAAAGCATGTCTGCCTGTATAAATGTGTGTGTGTTTGTGTTTCTGCATGTGTGTGTTGGTGTATCTGTTTTTTTTTGTATTTGTATGTTGCCAATCCACCAAGATCAGTGTAGTCGATAATCCCATTGCAAACGTCTCATAAAGAAATCTCATATCAAGCAAAGTGCGCCTATCCTCAAGAGTGACTAATCGATGAAAACGACATTCTTCCCTATAATCTGTAAAGGTATTTCTTTTTGGCATCAAATTTGACTTTCATAAGTGTGCAAATTGTACCTAAATGAATAAAGAAATTTTGACTTTGACTTTTTCTGTTGAGATGCTTAACACTGTATCGATTCTAAGTCATGTTTCCACAATACATTACCTTTAAACAATTGTTTAAAGATAATATATTGTGGATTCCAAATATTACAACAATACTTGAGAATACTACGACAGTATGTAAAGTGGTGCATGCCAATTCTAAAATAAACCCTAATATAAGCTATGTTAACTATTGTTGCTACGTAGGTACGTGGTAGGTATCGAAAGCACTATATCGTAGAGGTATACAACATACAAAAGAGAACCGATTATCGATCCCTGAGGCACAGCGGATGGTATTGTAACATAATCAGATAAGACCTTAGTTCACCCATAACTACAGCTCGAATTCGATTGCGCAGGTAAGACTCGAACCACCTAAGCAGGTCTCCACGTATCCTGATTTTCTGAAACTTACGGAGAATCTGTATATATCGCATCGATCGATTTATAAATGGCTAAAAATTACAGTTTTATGTAATTTTTGTCGTTTGCCACGTAAATGGCTTAACAGTTTTTCCGAGCGGCTTTTGGATTCAGTTTTAAATCGCAGCTTTAAAAAGTGATTCACAATTTGTTTTAAGATTTTTATTTCGTGCATACTAGCGCAAGTAATTGAATTAGTAGCGGGGTGAACAAACATTTGTGCTAACAACGGCGTGAAATATTGCACAATGTTATTTAATAATTTATTTTGTACATTATTTATTGTAAGCTGGCCATAATCGATGCTCGCCTAAAAACAGCATCTGTATGTTTTACTACTTTAAACGCAGCAACTGAGGGTAAACATAACTTGCCTCTATTTACGAAGGTAGTAAATGTTTGAAATTTATTTAAATTTAAACAATACATGTGATCATTTGGTGTGTCATTAGGTGCTACTAAGAAATTGCTGCAATATTCACAGGAGACGCGTGTTAAAATTTGTTTAACTATGTACCCTGTTATATAATATAATATATTTTTTTGGTATAGCGTTGTGTTAATTGATTCTAAGTGGTTAATCAATTC